GTATGTATCCTTTCTTGCTTTCTTCAACATTCAGAATTTGAATTCGACAAAGCAAGTGGCTATTACAGCTTTCCATCTCCCCTGTCGGCACGTTATGGCCATTGTTGTGGGCAACTGCTTCAGTTCAGTGCCAGATGCGCCTCCTAGTCCTTGTACCTCTGCTTGAGACTGATGGTTGTTGGCGTCTTTGGTGGTGTTACCTCTGACACAGACATTCCTCTTTCTTCCGTCACTAGAGCTTTCATTGAGCATACCACAGATTAACCCTATACATACGTCTTGTTTTACTCTCGTATCCGTCCATACGACGTGGGGAACTCTGTCCCACCACTTAACCCTATCCGTACGTTGTGTTTTACTATCGTATCCGTCCATACGACGTGCGGAACTCAGTGCTACAACTTTCAAAAGTGGAAATTTACTCGTTAATCCTATTTTTTGAGAATTTACTGAAAGTTTCAAAGAGACCTTCGAACTACAAAGATTCTAAAATGTAAAGAATTTACCCCGGGGGCACAAAATGACCACAGGGCGTAAGGAGAGGGTTAAGAAACCGTAGTTTAAAAAAATCAAACTAGTTTTGTTAGGCTTAGTACACAAAGACTTGAACTAGTGGGTGGCGATAGACAGTTGACTTTAAGACCTTCAGCCTACAGCTAAGCCACATTTTGCTCACTGAAATATTCGTAAGACTTATGACAAAGATTTCGTTCCGTCGTGGGTGGTTGGCGGGTGCTCTGTGTGCGGTCTGCTCGTTCTTTCCTATCAAACATATGTCGTCCTTATCTCTACTCCTTTATTTATTTGATTTTTGGGGGCTGTTTTGTTTTAATTTTGTTTTTGTTGATTTCATTTCTTTAATTTTGTTGTTTTAAAATTACTTCCTCTTCTTCTTTTTCTTCTTCTTCTTCTTCTTCTTCTTCTTCTTCTTCTTCTTCTTCTTCTTCTTCTTCTTCTTCTTCCTCTTCTATATGAAGCGGAAGGGCTGGAATAGGGGAAGGGAGGGGGGGGGGTAAGCAGGTTTCCATTTAGTCTGATTGTTCCAAAATGTTCTTGTACTGACTATGGATGTTTTGAACATTGGGCCTGTTTTGGTCCTGGGTGTTTACAAAGAAAAGCCTTTTTAAATGTAATCTAATGGTTCTGAGGAGAAGCAGATCGTTGGGGTTCAGTTTGATTACTTTGTTCAGGATAGGTGTAGTGAAGTTTGTGTATCCGCTATATGTAGTAGGTTTTCTGTGAATCCATCAATTTTTGCTCTAAACCATTGTTGTTAAGAACAGATCCGAAATAGCCTGGGCACAACATTGTAGATTACGGAACGGAAGAATGTTTAGAGTGGATGCGAAGACGAGAAAATGGTGAGGGGGG